GAAAACACAGGAATGTTCTTGAACCGCAGGATCCCCAAAAATGCTGTTGATAAATAACGACATCATGAGAGTATATCCTGCAGTTGATTTCGCTCGTGCTAGCATTAGCAGACACGCCATTTTAAACAATATGGCTTCCAGGCTGAATATACCGTAAAACCACCTCTTTCAGAGTCTCTACTCGCAGATATGTCATCTCAACTAAGAAAATTGTTCCGGAACCCCAATGGCCAGAGTGCCACTAGTCACGGGGATATTTAAGATTTTTAAAAAATGAGTTTATTTCATGTGAAACAAAATTTTGACATAATATCTGACACCACTTGTGTGACGGATAACCTAATATTCTTTAAAATACAGTCGGTATATTCATATAGCTATCATCAACGCCAGTATCTGCTAAGCCAGTATTTCGAAATCTAGTTTGTTTTTTAATTGTAAACCAAGCTTTTACAAGATAATAACATTCAACAGTAAATAAAAGAAAACAAAAACAGAATATACAGGAGGGGGAGAGTATGAAGAAGTAATAATCTTTAGTCCTTTCTTCTCACTTACCTTTACTACGTTCTTAAGGAGTTCCTGTATTTTCGTTTCTGGGCCTGCTATCAATACAATGTCATCTGCATGTCTTATGCTGTTAAGACTGTGTCCGTTAATAATAAATACTGGTAGGACTTGTTGTTCTCTCAGGATCGTCCTGTTGTAAAAGTCGAAAAGGCACATCATTGTCTTACGCTCCTTTATATCTTTATGTATTTACCGAATATATTTTCTCTCCGCGTGCAGGAGTTTTGCTCCCAATATAGATTCTGGATTATTCTGATATCTTTCCTAAATAAGTCGAGCTTACCGAATAGTTCAAATAAATCCTTTTATCGTAAATTATCAAATGCTTATCAAAATTACAAAAGGTATTTCCATAGAAAAATCCACACTACTCTTGGAAGGTATCATTGCACACGTCAAAAAGGCTATAGATTACATCGGCCGAAATATGGTGATATCAAAAGAAACAAACATTCTTGGAATAATAAAAAAAAGGCATAAATCCATTTTTCTTTTATTAAATAGTAGGGCAGAACAGACTCGTAACCCTTGATAGAGCAACCAGCCTATTAAAAGGAGAAATCTGAATTCAGAATCAGCCTGAAGAGGAATCGGCTCTGTCAAACCATCTTGCCTTAGATAAACCCACCTCTTCCATATCTGCAGTACACATGATGCACCCAAAACCCTAATGTGTTACAGGACTCGTAACATTTTTTAACTTCAGAATCGGAAAAAAGACAGTTGAAATTTCTTGGGTACATAATGAAGAAAGGCGGCTTAGAAAATTTGGCACTCACAGGATATAGTGAACGCAAGAGAAGCAGAGGAAAGCAATGAATTACCTGTCTGACGTAAAAGGTTGACAGAACAGGGGGATAGGAGATATAGCAGGAGGACAAACATTGCAAGGAGATAAAAAGGGCGGGAAGTTGTGGAGGTCTTTATATCGCACACGTTCTGAAGGGCCGTTACATTGAAGAAGAAGGATATACTGAAAACGATGCTTATTTTATTCCATCTCTAAACAAATACCTATTTTTGACTTTTCTTTGTTATTAAGGCAGTAAATCAAATCTTTGGATGTCTAAAACAACCCCAGTGACGCTGGTCTTTGTCAACCTTCTAAACTCCTTTCGACAAACGAATGAATCTAAGCAAGTGGTCAATTTGATGATGGTAAATATAATTGTTTTTACGAGCCCAACAGAATTGTTATTCGTAGTCGTTATCTAACCTAAGTGTTTGGCGCACAAAGGAAAAACTGGCTATTCCAAACATTTGTATAACATTACGACATTGTATATCTTAATAAATATTGAGGATATCAAAACACAATCTAGTATTTCCACGTTTCTAAACAGGTTTTTATTGGTATTCAATGTCAGCACCGCAGGTTACACGACACACATCGAAACGATGATCCAATTCTTGCCACACGCACCCAAGCATAGCGTTGACGATGGCTGCCAAGGCTTCAGTTATTTGCGTCTTCAGATCATCCACGTTTCTGAGAAGGGGAAGTACGTACACGAGGCCTTTCACATACCCCCAGATGAAAAAGAAGTCACATGGGGTGAGGTCTGGAGATGTTGGTGACCATCACAGGAACACGCAATTGTTCTGTCCGGAACGTTCGACTCATCTGTCAGGCAGAGTGGTGTTCAAAAATTAAATTTAATTAAGTAAATTAAAATTAAATTAACAGAACACTTGATATTTTTAGCTTTTAAATGGTACTAGTTCAATTATGCTACCATTTATAGTTCCTAGCAGACTTCGCCCGCTCGCTATCGATTCGCAAAGTAAGATATATTCACTACTTGTAATATTTAAAAGAAAGATTTCAAATGAATAATTCATTCATAAATTGGCTTGTTATAGTTAAGGAAAGTTTTACAAATAGATGCCAACTTGTTGAAGGCCAAGTAAAATGCAAATTTCAAGCGGTTTTCTGCAGTATATGAGACAATATTAATAAACAGAACTATTTTTGATATAAAAATCAAAACAATCCTTGAATAAAAAATACTAATGAAGGACAGTTAATTAATGAAATATACCTTTTAAAATCAGTATGCAAATTAGTTAAACCTGAAGCATGATATCACCTAGAAGTAGATAATATATAATACAGATATTGAGCAGTTGGCCTATAAATTACATGCGTATAAATTACTATAAATAATGTTATATATATAATCGTGCTCTTTATTTACCATCTGTCAGTTGTGTCTCTGTCCTTGGACAGAGTGCGCTCAGGGGCTTTTCTGTCAAAGGACAGAGGGGCAACTGAGAGGTACCCAGCCCTGGGGAACAGCTCCCTGAGGCAGAGCCCTCCCATTGCACAAGAGGGAGGGATCGGTGCGAGCACAGCGCAACCGACAGTTGCGGGGGCTGAGGGGAATTTTTGTCCCTGCCCGAGTGTACGCGCTCGGGTCCCCACATTAAGACGACCTTGTGTCACATCTCATTCTCGTGGGGGAATGAGTAAACACCTCCTATAAATTACTATAAAATAGGATTGGGGATTTTCACCCCAGCAATTCCTTGGATAATTGCGTTCCAATTTCGCATTTCTTCATATAGATTCCATAATATAGATTTTTACTATTATGTATCTCTAACTCTTCGACCATTGAATGTAGAACTAATTCTAATTTCTATTTTCCCAAATTTACGCTAAATTGTATCTTATAAATTGTCCGCTGTTCTGTCACCCATGAAATAAAACTAAATTTTTGTACTGAAAATAAGGATCTACGTACATCAAATCGTCTATAAATTAAGTGGCAGTAGAAGAATCATCGTTGAACTTTTATAAGGTAAGCGTAAACATCAATGTAATACTTAAATGCAGCGATCAATTTTGAGTCTCTCTGTAGTTAATTGATGCCTATCGCATCTATTCCTCCCTACCTATTGCGATGATGGCCAAACCACGAGTACTCCATATGAGCTAGCTTGAATACCGTCCGATAGAGCTGCTTTTAAGCTAGTTTATAACGAAACGTGCGCTCCAATTTTGGATACAAAAATAAAATAAATTACTCCCCTTGAACCATGAAATCAACGATAATGGCTGGTATAATATATTAATATATATGTTTAACCTCGCATAATCTGACAACCGTGAATCTGAGCTCAACAAAAATCGTTCCCTGTGCCTAACTTTTCTAGGGCTTTTGAATGAGCTATGAACCATTGGAATCGGACCAGTGGGAGAGGAGGAGTTGCTTGGACACACACACATGCACGCACAAACACACATACACTCTACTTTATATATAAGATACAAGATAGAAGATAGGGCCTCTTCTCCCCCAGTGAACCATGAAAGTGATGATAATGGCTAGTATAATATATTAATATATATTTTTAACCTCGCATAATCTGGCAACCGTGAATCTGACCTCAACAAAAATCGTTCCCTGCGCCTAACTTTTCTAGGACTTTTGAATGAGCTGTGAACCATTGGAATCGGAACAGTGGGAGACAAGGAGTTGCTTGGACACACACACACACACACACGCACAAACAAACACACATACACTCTACTTTATATATAAAATACTGTTTTATCTTAACACTGAAGTCTTGAGTCATACTTAATTATTAAAACGAGTAACTACCGACACCGAGGTTCGAACGTGACACTCTGAAGTTATGAATATATGTTTTCTGCCAGGTGTATAAATAGCGGTATCAGGCTACTGACTGCGGTGATTAATGAGTGGAACTATCCAGTCGAATTAGTGTGAATTATTGTGCGTCGATGATTTGGGTTTCGATTTAGGATTTACCGGACGTTAAGCCGAGACGCGCTACTAACAAGGTATTCACTGAAATGGTTAATTATCTTTGGTTGATTTTTACTCCTTTGTTCTTGTTAAGTATTTATTTGAGGTTGTATTAATAAATACTGTTTTATTTTATCCATTGAATTCTTGAGTTATACTTAATCATTAACGGCCACCGTATAACACAAACATCTGAAACTTTTTTTTAAAATTATACATTTTACTTTGATTGATTTCTCTTCACAATAATGACTGTTTGGCAACAGCTCAATATGTTTAAGAGGATTGTTTTGAATGCTGAACTCAATTAATGACAGGAATCACCCTTTAATTTTGATTTCCCGTTGAAGTGAAGATTCGGTCTAACGCTTTCGGTGAAGCCAGTTTTCGGACAAATGACATTTACAATTATGAAACAAACCGCTGAAATTGAGATTTAAAAAAAAAACAAAAAAACATGCATGTTTTTATGGCAACTTTTTGCAATACATTAAAAAAATACATTCTTTTTTTTTTTTTTTTTTAAGGAAGTTAATTAAAATTAAACACAACCATTGCCAAGTAATGACAAAAACAGAACGAACGTTTTGGCCAACGAAATAGACGAACGGCAGAACAGAGATTTAATAATTACTAACAAGTAATTTATTATCATTTCATTTTCAATTGGGCGTCCAGAAGAACTTCGATGAAGCCTACTGCCAGGCGGTCCGCCCAGGATATTCCGGAAATATTTTCTAGAAATCCACAATGACCACCTTTGTCAGTAACGACTAAAAATAAATTGGGGTAGCAGCGGAACAAGTCATAGGGTATAAAATCATTTGAGAACATAGGATCGTCCAAACTATTTATGCACATCAATGGCACAGCGATATCGTCGACATCTCGCATGGGGTTGTTTCTCTCCCAGTACTCCTCTATGCTTTTGTGTCCGTAAATTTTACAATATAGATTTTCGTCAAATTCTTGAAACGTCCAGCTGGTCATAGCAGCTCGCATATCACAGTAGTCCGACAAGGCCCTCGCATGGACGCACAGTATTTTTTTCAGCCGGAATAAATAAAGGAAATCATAAAAACTACGCAACTGCTTGCCCAATACCTCCTGGGCTTCGTAGCAGGCTGAGATGCACACGGCGGCTGAAATATGCGCCGAAGATCCATGCTCTCCCAGGTAAGAGAGCAATAGGCCAGAACCGGTACCGACGGCGACAGCCACCACGTTCGCACGGCTATACATACCGCGTATATATTTGACAACCTGACGCAGATCCGTAGGATCCCCGAAACCCTGAAGCTTTGGTGAGGTGAGAAAACTGTTGGCGTGTCCCCGACGGTTGAAGACGACGACACGGAAGCCGCGATCAGATGCCGCCTGTGTGAGACTGCTGACGCTTGTGGCGTCGCTGGTCAAGTCTGGAATGATGATGAGAACAGAACTGGTTTCACGAATGCGTCGATCCACCACCAGAGCCCAGTCGAGGGAGACGACCCCCCTATCGCGCATTAGCAAGTATTCCCGGTCGTAGCGCATAGCGGGCTTGGGGAGGAGGAAATTCGAGACAATAGTCTGCACGTGTTGGTTCAGTAGCCAAATGGGTGGCCGGAAGGGCGTACATAATTGTCGACATTTTTTCAAGATGTGGGTCGCTAAAGCGGAATCCTTGTAATAGATTACCGGCATGATTTCGCGGGATTTCAGTAACGACTTGCCATAGAGTATTAATGTTATTATGGCGCCAACCAACGTCACTAAAAGAGGCGTCGGCAAGCCAAGAATGGTGAACAAAAATACCGACATTGTTATTAATCTGTTTTTGCACATCGACGCGCTTTCATTGGTCAATGTTCATTAATGTAGATATGAGAATTTATATATATATATATATATATATATATATAAAGATTGTGTTTCGCAAAAAATAAATAAATAAAAAATAAAAACGGTCTACCAGTGTATTACTGGAAGATAACGTTTTTATGATAGTTTTTTTTTTTCAGGAAATTTTTCAATTAAGTCTCCTGATGAGTGGATGCAATCTCCGAAAAACTCAGAGTAGAGTCAAAGTGAATATTTAATTTTATTTATTTATTAATATATATCTATGTGTGTGTCTTTGCGTGTGTGCGTGTGGTGTGTGTGTGTCTGTGTATGTGTCTGTGTGTGTGTGTCTCTATGTGTGTGTGTGCGTGTGTGTGTGTGTGTGTGTGAAAGATCTACTTGGAAGTCACTGCTGACAACTGGTATTAACGCCTTTGAAAATCCTGTGCAGAATACAAGTGCGCGTACCTTTCAAAGACCGGCTCGATTAGTCACACGTATCGCCACAATCTATCACTATGATGTCCTGCCTGATTTCGCTTGCAATCTATGCCAGAAACTGTGCAGATCAGCGCTCGAACTTAACCAGCGTTACACGTCATAGTACTACGATACCGATGGAGCAATGGGGTAGATTCGCTTACAAAGCTTGCGGCCGAATGTGTACGTCATTCGCTGGTCTAATGAGTCACCAGAGATGTAATCAGCGGCAAGGATATCAGTAATGAAATCATGTAAGTGATCGTACCCGGACTTTCTATTATGTATCTGTGGGTGGGTGTTTAGTGTGTGATTTATCTACGACGCTCGAAAGGCAAGATTACTGTGAAATCGTTCTATATGCCATGAAAATGAATATACAAAGGATGACGGGTCTGAGCGTTATGCGGGGGTGGCGCTGCCACATGCAACTGTCTGTCTATTCTTCCCCACTTTACACACCATGAACAGTATTCCTGTTTTCACGAGCGAAGTATATTGAAGGAGCCCCCCGCCAAATAAATGTGAACTACAATAATATTATCCACTTATACCTTTTGGAATTTCAAGATCGATAGATAGACCGACAGACAGACAGACTCATATAAACAGTGACGAAGTGTACGTATGTGTGTGTTCCTTATGAGCTTCTCTACGGAGCAGTTTATGATAAAAGCATGTTATATAAGTATGGCATTAATGAATATATATTAATATGTAATAAAATCTATATATCTGTATGAATTAATTTATATTAATATCAATATATATATATTTATGTTCTATACATTAATTTATATTAATATATCTATGTATGTGTATATTAATATCAATATATAATTATATAAATTAATTTATGTTAATATCTATATACTTTTTATATATATATATATATATATATTAATTTATTAATACATATATATATATATATATAATATATAATATATATATTATATATATATAAAAATTAATACATAATAAAATGTATATATTGGTAAATATATAATATTAATATATTGGTAAATTTATTGGTAAATTTATATATCTCGAACAGATAATCCTGCGAGTAGTTTTGTTTTCGAGGGTTTTTTTATTTTATTTTATTCTTATTTTTCTTTATTCATGTATTTTGTCTTATTTTATTTTATATTTTCATTTCAACTGTGTGTATAGTCAGTGTGGTGGAAATTAAGTAATTTTACGCAAATTACAGAATACTTATGTATGAAGGACTTTAGCACAAGTTTCTATCTCCCCAATGGAAGAAACATTTTTGTTTAGAACTCAAGTTTTATATAAAAAATGAATAATTATGCATACATATATATGTGTGTGTGTTAGTGTGTATAAAAATGTGTCTTGGTGTACACTGGTTTAATTAATTACCTAAATACCCGTTTTAAACATTTAAGCCGTTGCTCGACAGAAGGCGTGTAGATCAGAAGAAAAAACTGTTCCTTTTGACTTTATATTAAATTCAACTTGTTAAAGACTGCACTTCATCTGTTTAGATGATTTATAAATACGACGAGACCTAAGCACTCCAATCTGCTTCTTTTTCTTTTTATGTCCCAGATCACTAGGCCGTTTTTCTAGTCATTCTTAACGCCTACCAATCTTTCTTTTACACATTCAATCCCTTATTCTCTTATTTCACTTCCTATGTTTATCTATCTATTCCAATCAAGGTTAATCTTCATCTATCTATCTATCTATCTATCTATCTATCTATCTATCTATCTATCTATCTTAATCTTTATCTATTTATCTATCTTAATCTTTATTTATCTATCTTAATCTTTATCTATTTATCTATCTTAATCTCTATTTATCTATCTTAATCTTTATCTATTTATCTATCTTAATCTCTATCTATCTTATTTTTTATTTATCTATCTTAATCTCTATTTATCTATCTTAATCTTTATCTATCTTAATCTTTATCTATCTTAATCTTTATCTATTTGTATATTTTAATCTTTATCTATTTATTTATCTTAATCTCTATTTATCTATCTTAATCTTTATCTATTTATCTATCTTAAGCTTTATCTATTTTAATCTTTATTTATCTATCTTAATCTTTATTTAGCTATCTTATTATCTAGCTACCTTAATCTTTATTTAGCTATCTTGATCTTTATCTATCTATCTATCTATCTATCTATATGTCTGTTCGTCCTTTTTGTCTATAAATTCTATGATCTCTATATGATCCAATAGAACTGGAATGGATTCTGACACTATTTTTGGTCGGTGGTTCTACTGATAATTTCTACATTACTGAGTGCTTTTTGTATGATATGAGGTATTGTAAATATTCACACTACACAAACGTCATCGAACCAATCTTCAGAAACGTCAACATGCAGATTGACTACTCTTGCTTCGGTTCGAAATTCAAACAAATATTACCTGAAGAAGATCGGAGCGTGCAACGGCCGAAATGTGGCAATTAAGACAAAGACAACAGTCCAAACAATATAAATAGAGTGTTTGTATATATATATATATATATATATATATATATATATTCGCTAGCAGCTTAGGTCCAGTTTATTTTGATTTTTTGATTTTCAAAGATTCAATAACGCACATACACACTCTGTCTCTGTCTGCCTTTGTCTGTCTCTCTCTTTTATATATATATATATATATATATATATATATATATAAATATATGTGTGTGTGTGAGTGTGCGTGTTTTCTGTATATTCTTATCTACAGGTCTGTTTTGATATTAAATCATTGTTATATATTGATCTACCAGTCTATCTATCTGTTAGATATTTTGCCAAGATAGATAGATAGATAGATAGATAGATAGATAGATAGATAGATAGATATCTGTCTCTATTTCTATTCAACTGCTTATGCCTGTTTATTTATCTCTATGTTATGTTTTTACTTTTTTTTAAGTTATTATATATTACACACACACACACACACACACACACACACACACACACACACACACATATATATATATATATATATATATATAAAACTGAATGGGTAAATGTAGATAGGTGTTGTGTAATTAATGTAAGATATTATGTAGATTTCTTAATATATATATATATCTATATATATGTATGTGTGCATATACATACATATATATATATATATATCGTTATCTCATATATATATACATATGTATATCTATACTATGTTCATCAGTTTGGATATATAAAAATAACTATTTTATTCATTGTATTTTGTCCTTACGCCTGTCAGTAGCATTTACATTTTAATAATAAATGTCAATTATTATTATTAATAATATTTATTTATTTATTTATTCATACTTATGTATTTAAAAGGCTAATGATTTCCTTTTCTAGCCATTTTCGGGGTTGCAGTTTGCTTGATGTCAGGGGAGATAATTCATACATCACATGAGTTCAGTAACTCCGTTCAATAAATACCAAATATCTACACATGAACTTTTCTCCACATCATATTTATGTATATTTTCATATATATGTATAATTTTAGTTGTATATTTATTCATGATAAATATCTATGCCTTCTAGGGGTACATATCATGCGTTTTTCTTATTGTGGAGGATATATATTGTTTTCACGGTAAATATATATACCCGTCAAATTTTCTGCATATTTCTGTGTTTCATTTAGGAAGGGAAATGTACGATTTTCTTCTTCTTCTTCTTCTTCTTCTTCTTCTTCTTCTTCTTCTTCTTCTTCTTCTTCTTCTTCTATGTGTTGGCGGGCGTTTTTCGCTAGTAGACAGATTTAGGAAGATGAGAATTTTTTTAATTTGCTATGGAATAAAGTTTGAAAAGTTATTTTAGATAAATGCCTGTATCTACCGAGCTTATATATATATATATATATATATATATATATATATATATATATATATATATATATGTGTGTGTGTGTGTGTGTGTATGTGTGTATAGTTGGTAAAGTTTATACTTAGTTTAATTGATCTGTACAATTATTCAATTATTATGGTTTATGAAAATTATATACCAGTTACGTAAGTTAACCCTGCCTGTACCTTACAGATAAGTCTCTTTATAAATTATCGCAAAAAATCAAAATAAAAAACACCCAAATTCACTGATTCAACAAATCAGACGTCAGTTAATTCAGTTTATGTTGCTGTACAGAAAACAAAGTTTATAGTTTTGTACATGGTTCACGTTGAACAAGGCGGGAAACTCTATTCAAAAAAATCGATTGTTTTTTTTTTCTAATTTTATAAATAATATTTTTAATTGCTCAATAAATTTTTGGGTAATTTTACTTTTGTTTCTTTTAATCGATATTGCAGTTATACTATACACCAGAGAAAATATATATATATATATATATGTATATATAAATGGTGTTGACACTCTCAGTTTTTGCAA